TATTATTTTTTTCTGCTTAACTGAAATTTACCTTTATGATACATTAAATTCCCATGCATGCTGGACTCTATTTCTAATTTGTTCCATTATCTATTTGCCTACTTCTGGATCTTTATGATACTCTTTTGATATACTGATTTTATAGTAATTGTAATATAATAACAGAACACAGTTGTAATATTTACTATAATATACTGTTCTAAGCAATTTAGATTTAATCCTCACAAAAACCCTATGAGGTAGGTACTATTGATATCCTCATTTTACTGATGATGAAATTAAGGGGAAGAGAGGTTGAAGAACATGTTCTGCACCCTACCACCAAGAGCACAGCCCGGGTATGAGCCCTGTTTTTAAGCATTAGGCCAAATTCCTTCTCTGTGTAGCCTAAAACCCTTTACTACTCTTCGTAAAAATAATTTTCTTAGCTTATTCTTCTATAGTCTTCTTATTCAGTTCCCAAACAAAAACAAACCTCTTTATTGGGATTCTAATTAGAATTGCATTAACTTTACATATTAATTCTGGGAGGCATGTGTTTTTATAAATTAAGTATTCCCATTTAGAAACATGATAAACTTTCTGTATGTTCAGTTTTCATTTCATGTATTCTTCAAGGTTTTATTGTTTTTTTAAAATAGGTCCTGTCTTGTAAAATTTTATCCCAAGTATTTTAAAAGTTCTGCCATTGTTGTGAATGAAATTTTTGCCTACACTTGAAAGTAATAGAGGAATACCTTTGATAATATTGTTCTCACTCTCCCTTCCTCCCTCCCTCCCTTCCCCAACCTAATTCTTAGTTACCCAATGTTAAAATTAATATAGGAAAAAAGATAAATTATTGATTCTTTTTCTTTGATTTACTAGTTTTCAAGATAATGAATTAATTTCCTATAATTCTCTGAAGATGATAGAATTGGTGTTTTTTGAATTGGTAGCCCTGGCCGGTGTGGATAAGAGCTTAGAATATTGGCTGGTGCACCGAAGGGTTGCATGTTTGATTCCTGGTCAAGGGCACATATCTGGGTAGCAGCTTTGATCCCTGGCACTGTTGGGGTGCATGCGGGAGGTAACCAATCAATATGTATCTCTCTCACATGGATGTTTCTCTCTCTCTTTTTCTTTCTCTCTATCTATCTCTCCCTTCCTCTCTTCCACTCTCTAAAAAATATGGAAAACAATATCCTCAGGTGAGAATTCAAGTTAAAAAATTAAAAAATATATTTTTATTGATTATTTCAGAGAGGAAGGGAGGAGAGAGAAATAGAAACATCAGTGATGAGGGAGAATTATTGATCAGCTGCCTCCTACATGCCCCCTACTGGGGCTTGAGCCTGCAACCTGCAACCCATTCATGTGCCCTGACCAGTTTGGAACCACGACCTCCTGGTTCATAGATTGATACTGAGCCACACCAGCCAGGCAAGGATTAACTTTTATACAAAAATTAACAGAATATGAAATAAAAGCAATGTAGATGAGCAAAGACAAATTGAATTTGACCCCTCAAATTTCAGATCATACCTAAAGTCATAATTCACTAACAGAAAGAGATACATTTGGAATAGAAGTAATAAATAAACTTTTAGATTGGTTGACAATCCAATTAATGAAGATGAGAAAATCATATGAACATATGAGAAAATATTTATGCTATGTTGTGATTTGGCATAAAATACTGAACAAAAAAATCCTATATAATAAAAGCCTAATATGCTAATTGTCAGGTCATCCAGTCAGCCGTTCAACCAAAGTGTAATATGCTAATGATATGGTAAGACTGCTCAACCTCTCACTATGATGTATACTGACCACCAGGGGGCAGACAGTCGACTGGTTGACCAGTTGCTATAACGTGCACCGACTGGTAGATTAGCTTGCTGCTGGGGTCCAGCTGATTAGGACTGGGCGAGATGGGCCAGACATGCCCTGGCGCCTTCCCACTGTCCCTTCCTAGCTGGCCAACCTCCCACCTCCCTCCCTGACTCCGATCGTGCACCGGTGAGGTCCTCAGCCTGGCCTGTGCCCTCTCACAATCTGGGACCCCTCATGGGATGTCAGAGAGCTGGTTTCAGCCTGATCCCGCAGGCTAGGCCGAGGGACCCCACTGGTGCACAAATTTGTGCACCGGGCCTCTAGTAATTACATAAAATTCATGTAAGTTTTATAACAAGGACTCTGCTGACAAACTGGTTAATGAGTATCAATTCAAAGAGAATTTAAGGTTAGTCCACTGAACAAGAAAAGCTAGAGTGACCTGAAATCTTATAGTTTATATATGAAAACAAAACTATATGGAGATTTCCCCAAATTTGACAACAATCCTACAGTTACATGGCAATATCAATATCACATTTATTGTTGAAGGAAATTTTCTAAGCTATCATTAATAAAAAAAAAATTGATCAACCATGCTAGAGGAAAATGGAATTATCTTTCTATTTTCTCTATAAAAAATCATTATAAAATCAGTAATACAAAAAGGCAGTCAAAGAATAAGTAGCCAAAATAATATTGAGGTATC